AACTAGTTAAGCTTCCAGAGGATATGTGTGTGTGGGGGATTTTGTCGAAGCATATCTGTAGATGTATGCATGAAAAACTGTGTTCATATGTGCTTGCATGTGAATCTGCCCGTGTGTTTCTGTACATAAAATTGCATTTGAGCATCCTAGTGTAAGGGCTGTCTCGTGTACAGTGTACGTGTGTGAGTCTTTGTGGAGGTGCTGATGAATGGCTCTGATTAGCACTGAGGACGACACTAGAGCCTTTGGAGCGCCCTGCAGGATTACAGGACATCGCCAGCATTTGCCACTCAGGCAGAAAATCACTTTCATAAAGTGACACAGACCCTGCACACACACACACACACACACACACACACACACACACACACACACACACAAGCCTACCTCATTTGAATGACTAAAGCAAACACAAATAAACACTTGCATACAAAGCTTGGTGCAGTTGACTGACTGTGCCTGTGGACTCTTGCCACCAAACATCATACTTTATTTTTACAATTCTGTAGTTCTGTGGTACAATTGGATAAAGCCTTCAGAATCAATAGCAAGGTAACAGCAGCACTGGAAGACGGCCAATATTTCAGAGGTTGACGGGCTTAAACCTGCAATAACTGATTTTTATTTATTTTAATTGAAACAGGCCTACAAGCTTGTAGAGAGGAGGTTGCTCACATTAGAAGGTCTTAATATGACCACAGCACTTCCTCATGTCTACAGTTAGAACATCTGTTACATTGTGTTGCATAAATTAAAAAATGGTCATTATGAAATATTTTAAAGGAAAAATGCATGTTCCTGTATGCATTTGACCTTCCACAGCAATTTCATCATTAGTTATAGTATAGAACAGGTAACTAGGGTTGGGTACTGAAACACGGTGCCAATATGGCACTGGTTCCTATACAACTAGTATCTACCTGACAGAATCACAATGCAGAAGTCGGTTCCACTGTCTATTGATATAGTTTCCCTCTGGTGTTGACCTACAGGCAACAGAGGGATCACTGCATGTGAGTCATCCCTAGTTAACATTACGGCAACGCTGTCTGCACATGGCTCTGACAGGAAGTATCATACTGCTGGCTAGTAGCTCAACGTTTGTCCGTTCTGGGCTACTGCAGAAACATGGTGGTTCAATATGGCAGCCTCAGTGGAATGTGACCCTGTGGCTCTGTAGATGAAAACATCTCAAGGCAACAAAAACTATTCCTGTATTCAGGTGATTATACACGAATGAAAACATACATGAATATGATATTCCATTTCTGCCAACAGATCTTCCTAAATGTTACACACTGGACCTTTAACTGTTATAATATATTGTTCAATTTAAAGTTTAAAATTCAAATTTGAAAAAGCTGTTCATTTAGTGTTGGTTCAGGCACTGTTTAGGCACCTTTACCATTTTAAAGTATTGTTGTAGCACCGGTATTGTAACACACTCAAATGATAACCAACCCTACTGGTAACCAGCAATGATCATTTCAGATATTCAATATATTTTTATATTTTTGTATTCCTGTGCAGCTCACGTCTGTATTTTAATAACCTCAGTTTTTACCTCGGTCTGGCTTGCATCCAGAGTTGTTAAAAATATGTGCACAGTATCTTGGTCACCATTAATTACAGTAAAATAGCTGTTATGTACACACTGGTTTACTGCAGAAAACTGTCATAATACTCTCAGGTTACCAGTAGCGACCCTCTCCCCACCGACCAGAGTCTCTGGTTTCTAAAGGAGGCGCTTGGCATCCAATCAGAGACTAAATGGAATGTGGTCACTGTGTGGCCTTTAATTAAGTCCTTCCAGAGGGGAGGATTTAGTGTCCTGGAATGAGAAAAGAATGAGTACACAGTATTTTCTCACCCACTTAGAGCGGTAATCCATAAAGCATTTATGTTACCGCAAACTGCGCATACAGATAAGGATTCATGCATTAGTAGTTTCATATGACAGCATAGGTATATTCACAATGGCATGAAAGCGAATGGCTGAATTTGAAAAGACCTTCCCTCAGAGGGTAAAGCTTTACATTTGATATAATACCAGCTTTAGAATCCTCCCCGTGGCACTGCTTGGGCCACTCAAGGTGTACTGGCTGTGCCAACCGTGAGCTCTTTGATATCAATGCTTTGTGTCAAGATAAAGGCCTGTTGTGTAGGCTACCGATAATGTTGTTTATCTCAGGTCCTCAGCAGTGGAGGCCGTTCTGAAGTATGAGTTTTTGGAACAGCCCAGCAGCTTGAAATCCGAAATAATTATTTATTCAAAGAAAGTGCACAGACGTGAATTCTGCAGTGTTCTTTGTGCAGGTCCGGTGAGCAGGACCGGAGCTTTGTCATTTAAATCGCCCAAACAGCTCCTGACTATCAAAGCAAACAAGTAAGAACAAATAAAGCTGCTGCATCTTTTACTCGGGAGTCTGGTTGGCAGACCGGCAGATGAGGTTTTACCCATGCCAAGAAATTATTCAGGTACAGAGGTAGCCACTGTACATGCCCTACTTTTTATGCTACTTCTCCACTACTGATGCTCCAACAATAAGAGGTGCTGCTTGGAAAATCAGGCTCTACTAAGGTAGGATTAAGGTCTTGGTCTGCAACAATGACATCAGTCTCCGACTCTTATGCAATGAGAACTTGGTTTGGGGGGATTCTTCACTGGCTTCCTTTGTATACAGACTGGGAAGGGGCTTCAGCAATGATTACCGCTGTAAACCCAAGAGCATACAAATGGTATTTACAGTGTAACAAACATGGGTTAATCCTAATCCTGAGATATAATTGATTTTTCAGTGAGGAGATGTTCAGTAGAAGATGTTGGACTAGGACGAGGTTTAATCCTTGTCTGTGAAACTGGTCAACAAACAGGCAGCTACGTGAGTGCGTCTGGTACTGTAGCACCTAATGTTTTTAGCGCAGATTATTAAAAGGTTTACAATTTAATAAGTAGATTTTATGAGGAATGATAAAAACACATACTTTACCTAAGGCTGGATTATCAACTCAGAGAAGCAGGCAATTGCCTCAGGGTCTGAGACCCTCAGGGGGCCCCAAAGGTTTACTGTGTGGGAATTACTTTGTGGTGTTTTGAATAAATGCAAAATTCTTTGGTAATCACACCTCCACTGAAGCACAATTGCAACTATAAAAACTGAAATGTTAATGAGATTAAAGTCTAGTTTTGAAGGTGCACCCAATCAGTTTTTCCATGTGAAAGTGATTCTGGAGGAGCAAAATTGCATTACGTGTTTGGCTGTGGAGTTTAAAGGACATGGGAGTTTCCCATGGAGGAAGGGTTTTTGCTATAGATGCTGTTGAGTTGCATTATGGGAAGTGCAGGATCCATTACTTTGGAGTTGGACCCATTAAGGGACTAAAATTCTGAATATTGTACTCATAGACGAAAAAGAGCTGGCACAACTTAATGTACTTTTATTATTTCATACAGACTACTATAGAGAATTTGATAACTATATTATAAAACTGAAAAGTGATCAGAGTCTTGATACCAATGAAATTCAGCCTGTGACCCTTTCCTGATGACCTACCACTAAATATTAATTTTAGATGGGTGTCTGTTAAAAACCAGAGCATCTCACTTTGTCAGACATTCATAAAATAAGTTACGGGAAGGCTATTAAAAATACATACTCAACACACAGCAGCCATGTGTCATTTGATTTGCCATATGGACAACAAAAGCAGTCGAGAGGCAGTGAGGGATGTGCTGATGATGCTGATGATGCTTTAACATGCATTGACAGTGTGAAATTGAATTGGACAGTGCCAAACCAACGGCATCAAGACAATGCTGGTGTGTGGGCTTATACAGGAAATGATCAAGACTGTCCTCCCAAGGAAAATAAGTTGTTTCTGAAAAGTAACTTCCTCCAAAACCATTGATGATGATGATGATGATGGTTTCAGTCAAAATCCACCTAGAACGGACATCGACTTTTGCTGCACGGTAACTGCCAGAACTCATCTCAGAGCATTGGCAATGGCAAAAGCATCCTATTTTTCTGTCTTGGTCTTCACTGTCTTACTTATCTGGACTCGGTCTCGACGAGTCTTGCTCTTGGACTGCTTTTTTGCTGCGGATTTGGAAGGCACTGACAAATAATTGATTTTGTCATTAAGTTTCTTGGTTCTTAAAGTGTCAGTTGGTATAAACACAAATCATGATATGAACAGTGTGAGGTGTTATATATGAAACCATGTCAATTTGAAGAGCAGCAGTGCACTCAGTGCTGCCACTGGTGGTGTATCAGGGCCACTGATGATGAGTCAGGCTGAAATCGAATGGTTTCAAAATAAAGTTGTTCTCAGTAGCTAAAAGGTGACTCAAGGTCAAATTGGGTCATTTGTTCGTAAATACAGTATGTCTGCCATCAGTGGCCTAAGATGTCCTACTGTATGACAGCTGCCATGTATGTCAGGGAACTGTGTCATAAATAGGCTGGAGGCTGCCATATTCATGCACCTGCTCTATTCAGTTACGACACAATGGATGGAGCATTACTTGCCAGAATCCACTTAAAACAATATACTGGATTAACAGAAGTGATAATGACAAGGGTTGTAGAGTGTGTGTGTGTGTGTGTGTGTGTGTGTGTGTGAATAACCACCCAGTGACAAGCCACTTTAAACAGGCATGTTATTTTTGAAGAAACCCTCCTGGGAGGTCTGTATTGCCTGGTCCTGTCACACCACCCTGCCTGGCCTGTATAAACCACTCAGCATGAAGCACAACACGAGGTGGGTTTTCCCCATTCATGAAGCAGCCAACACTGACTCATCCCCTGCAAGTGCTCTCGGTCAGCCACCTGCAGGGAAACATTTTTACAACTCTCATGTTGCCTGTTGCCTCCACAGTTCCTAAAATAACCCCTCCTACCTCTCCCTCTCCAGTACCCCCCCCAACCCTGCCACATGGTTACAGTTAAGTACATAAATCAGGCGCCAGCGCTGCTGTGAGAGCTGTGGAGGCAGACAGGAGGCACACATGCACCTTACACCGCCGCGGCTCGTCGCCGCTACTGCAGCCGGTGCAGCTGAAGGAGACTCGCAGCTTTTTTTTTCTTTGCTCCCCCCCCATCACACGGAGGCGGAATGGCTTGAGAGCAGACAACACGGACTCGTCTCGATCGGCTGATGCACGATGATTCTCTGACTTGTCCTCCTGTCTGTGTGCGTCCGTCCGTCTTGCCGCGAATTGCTGCAGTGCTGTTTTTCCAGGTGTTGTGGTGTGTGTGAGTGAGTGTGTGTGTGTGTGTTTGTGTGTGTGTGTGTGTGTGCGCGCGTGTGTGTGTGTGTGAGAGAGAGAGTGAGTGTGTGTATGTGTGTGTGTGTTGCGCGTGTGTGTGTGCATGGCGGTGTTGTAGCCTGGTGTAATTCTCTTACGAATTGGACTAAGCCGGGGAACGGAGTCTGATGTCACATGTGCTTCATCGGAGGAGACGGGGCATCTGCAAGCTGGATTTTGTGGAGGATGCTGCGGCAAGTGATACACAGAGGGCTCAAGGCTTCGTTCTACTGGCTGGGCTTATTCGTTAGCAGGCATCCCGTTTTCTTCCTCACCGTCCCCGCGGTCCTCACCATCATTTTCGGATCTACCGTGCTCAGCCGATTCAAGCCGGAGACGGACCTGGAGGTGCTGGTCGCCCCTACTCACAGCCTCGCCAAAATCGAGCGGAGTCTCGCCAACAGCCTGTTTCCCATCGACCAGTCGAAGCACAAGCTGTACTCGGATTTGCACACCCCGGGCAGATATGGCAGGCTGATCCTGCTCGCCAAGTCCGGGGGGAACATCCTGGAGCTGGCCGACCAGGTCCTGCAGGTCCACAAGCAGGTGTTGGATTTGCGCGTCAATTACAAGGGATTCAATTACACGTTCGCGCACCTCTGCGTCTTGAGCCACAGGGACAAGCGCTGCCTCTTGGATGATATCATCACCATCTTCGAAGACATCAGGCAGGCTGTGCTCTCTAACAGCACTTTCCATAAGGTGCCCGTGAGCTATCCAAACACAACACTAAAGGTGAGATTTCTACTGCACACTGCAGCTCCTCTCACATGCATGTAAGTGAGGCCTGTGCACACTATCCCCCCCCCACACCAAAAAAAAAATCCCTCCATCTGAGCCGTGACAGTGCAGCAGCAGCCAGCATGTGAATACGGGCTGGCCCTAGAGCTTGCCATAATTTCTGAATGAACAGCGGGCTGGTATTGAGGCTGTGATGTGGGGCTGCAGATTGCCACATATATCAGCCGGAGAGGGAACCCTCTGTATAACACACACAGCCGGCTTTGCAGTTTTCACCCTCCCTCGTTGGTGCAGGTGAATTGATTGGCTGCATGTAGCCCCTAACTGCCTTGCTCTCTCTTCTTACACACACACACTGAAACACACACACACACACACACAAGGGATATCCTGCCTTTTTTTTTTTTTGATGCAGTGTTTCCCTCTTTGCCTTCTCCCCGGCTGCACATGCAGCATGACATGGCTCCAGTGGCTGATAGACTCCCAGGTATCCTGCTTGACTGGATCTCCCTCTCAGTTGCTCGGTGGGATCTGACTGCATAAATTCCGCCGTGTCAATCACACGCGAGCTTTTTGCAGCAGTAACACACAGCAGAGCATGTGGAGAGGTACAGGGGCACATTCAGGAGATCAAGTGCAGATGTGCTCTGCAAACGGAGGCTGCTGCTATTGGTCTGATCAGGCTTTTATACCGAAAAGCTGTTGCACACATGTATGATTTGTACTATTTGCCAAGGTTTTTCTTTTTTTCACAGATTACACAAGTTGTCATTATTACACCACAAGTGCAGTGCAGTGCAAGGTGAACCAGCTGCATGATGTGAAGGGACAAAGCGTTTTCATCATGCTCCATTGTATGGCCTTGAGGCATATTCACGCCACTGTACAGGTTTGATATTATATGGACATAAGAACACCCAAAGTCACTGTAACAGCCAGCTTATTCAACACTATAGGCAATTAGATTTATGAAGTACACTGCACACTGCCCTTTTCCTGCCTGACACACACACACACACACACACACACACACACACACACACACACTGTAAGCTCAAACTGACACAAGCACATATTCAATGTATCACAGGTCTGCTCTCCAGCATGACAGGTTGTAACTGTCATTGAGAGCTGCCACAGCAGTGTGAGCTATCTGAGCAGCATCAGTGTCTGAGTGGAGTTGCGAGGCCATTCATCGTCCTGTAGCAGACTGGCTCCTAATATTCAGGTTAAGGGACACAATGTATTCTTGTTTTGGATGACAAGTGGGGGTCAAATATGGGGTGTGAAATTTGCACTTTTAAAGAAGCCTATTTATACATTGTATTGCTTCTGCACACCATTGCTGTCCAGTGAAAACCATGTATTTCCACATCTGGTGATCTAGACCTTTCTGACAAACTAGAGGATTTGTTTATGAGTTGAGAAAATACTACCTGATAAGATAAATAAACCGTTTCAAAACACACAGAATAATCTGAAAATGCAGTGTCACACATACAAACCCAGGCAGAGTTCCTTAGCTTATAAAAGTTGGCTTTTTTGGAGATGCATGGTTTTCACAGGGCATCAGCCATGATCAGATTTTACAGAATTTTTGACTGTTCATAGCGGAAAGAGCACAAGTGGAAATGATAATATTAACGGTGGCTCAGTTCCATTAAGAGTCCCAGTTAACCAGCCAGCACGCACAATACCAGGAGCTCCCCTACAGAAAAGTGGAATGCAGCCATCATTAATGTCCTTAAACATGCCTTTCTGCTATGACATGTCAAAATATGTGCAGTGAAAAAGTTCTGTTGCTTTACTGTGTCATTATACTCAGAAAGCTGCACAATTTATGCTCATATAGAAATGATCACTGTACAGTAAAGAGAAAATATATCCATGTAATTAGAATGAGTCACTTGACTCTGTTATCACAGGAAGAATACACGGCCACTTAAAGAATACAGTAGTTTACTATATTCTGTATTAAATACATACATGTTTGCAGTAATATCTCCTTTATAATCTACCTTTTTGTGCCTCTGTATTTCTCACGTTGTCATGGCCTTCTGATTGATACAAATACATAGATCTTCTCGTTTAACTATAGTGGTAGGTCTGCCTCTGAAAACTTCTGCTGCAGAGTTTTGTTTTTGAGTCTTTGAGGTTACGTAAGAAGTAGTTCCAGTGAGAGCTGCTCGCAGCGAGGTCTGTGATTTATCCTGTGTAATAGGACATTGTTATTGGAACAGTTGCTGTTGAGCTTTTCAGATGCTATTGTTCCAATAATTTTTCAAGCAAAAATGGCAAAACATTTGATGGTTTCAGCTTCTATAAAGTGACAATTTTCTGCTTTTCTATGTAGGTCCGTCCCCAACTAAAGATTTTCCCAGTCGACTGGTAGTTTTTAGTTCAAGCCTAGGTCGACTAGTCATCACATGTTTGATTTTAATTAAAATCTTTGCTTTTAAAAAAAAAAGCCTGGTAAATGATAACTTCCACTGCCACTAACACAAATACTCTTAGACTTATCGATATGATGTATAATGTAACTTACAAATTACCTTGCTACAAATTTGCTCCTCTCCCTGCTGCATGCCTGTCCCTGCCTGAACCTGCAGTGTCAGAGCCCAGAAATATATCTTTCTGGGCTCTGATTGGTTGTTCTCGTTCAAGCCCGGTAGATTTTACAAATACCATTAGGAGCGCTAGGAGGAGCCAGAGGAACCAGATTTTTTCACAGATTGTCTGTCTCATATTCTACTGTCAGGATATAGGGAAAGTTTCAACAAATATATAACAAGTTATTTTCATAAAAGTTACCTACTGCAGCTTTAAGTATTTTCATACTGTATGCAAACATATACTGAGGCACACATCATCATTAACTCCTTTCCAACATGAATTAGTTCTTCTGTTGTTGAAGGTTGATGTGACCTCCTTCCTCTCCAGCTCTCCTCGTTCTGTATCAGGCCCTCTGCATCCTCCATGTTCCTGAATCCTTCTTCTCTCTGTCTGCCTGTTTGACGAGCTGTCCGGGCTAATTCATTTGCCTGACTTCTTATGCCTCATCCTCCTCTTTGATGTCACAACCCGGGGTTTATTTCTGTGCTTGTTATACAGACATAGTCTTCATAGAAAGTCCTACTTTTTGCTGAGCTGAACTTTAGCTGTGCTCCCAGGAGAAAATGCTTGAAATATATATTCTTTGTTTTGCTCTGTCTGCTGTATTTCTAGTTTTGTAATCTTTTTTTAAAACTGTCAGGTATAAAAATACATCAAGGATTATGATGAAAAAGAAATGGGGATGTATGAACAATCGGACAATTTCAACATATAATGGAGAGCTATGTTTAAATATAGAAATGGGTATTGATTTAAACATCAAGAAGTACAAATAAGCAGCGTTGTGAAGAAACCTGAGATGTGAGAGATGTGAATAACTGGCAGCTCATGTACTGTGGTTTCATCCAGCAACCACATCACCGTGCTAATGTGCGATGGTTAATTAGAGCTTGTTGATTGCTGGTTGAAGGGCCAGAGTTGTTACAGCAACAGACTGGACATATGGCAATGCTGGTATGTGATTATCTGCTGATAGCCAATAGGGCACAAATATTTGAGTTTTTCCCTTACTGACAGTCAGGGCACAGCTTGTCTCAGGTCATGCAAATACAGAATTCAGCTTTCAAGTTGCCCAAATGTTATAGATTAACATGAGTTGTAGTTGGATACGGAAGATTGGCGTGGGCATGGCTGAAAATATTTTTTTCCCCGAAACATTGTTACATGATCTCGACTTAATTATCTCATGATTTTGGGTTACATTTTTGAGGCTGTGCTCACCACAAAAATCAACCTTTTCTCCAGTAATGAGGTATCAAGCACACAATATTGCCTTTAGCTACTAACACTTCCAGGTAAACACGGGATACGTCAGAGAGTGAGGAAAGAAGGTAAGCAAAGGTGACTAAACGTAGCGTGAATGAACCTTTAATACACAATGTTGTCTGTGAACAATTTCTGTTTGAGTCACATCAGATAGATTTTCATCAGCAATGGTGGTTGTTTAACAAAAAAGACAACAACTCCCATTATCCCACATAAAACTAGTCTTTTGTTACTTTTCGCCCCCTAGTGGCAGAAAATAAAATACTGTACGTACAAGTTTACTTTTTTCTAAGGGATGGCAGTGTTGGTTGGTTGGTCTGTCAGTCCATCATTTTGGTCCAAACTGAAATACATATATAAAAACTATATGATGGCTTAACGTTAAAGTTTGTAGAGTCATTCTTGGTTCCCATAAAATGAATCTTAATGACTTTGCTGATCCCCTGACTTTCCCTCTAGCAAGTAAAACGTCTTTTCAGTTTTTGCATGGATTGAAATTTCGTTAATTTTCCATAATTTTAATACATTTGGTGATTCCCTGACATTTCCTCTAGCACAATCTTAGAAATACGATATGAGTTGTTATTTCTGTAGGTCGACTCACAACAACTTTTATACAGCACCATCAATCTCATTCATGGTTGTCGCAATTTTCGTGTCCATTTCTCTGTTGCCATTTCAAGCTCTGATTGGCTGGGTAGTTTCCCCAATGGGGGAGCCAGGTGAGCACAACATCTGACCCTTTAGAATCACAAAAAAATGTCTATATACATATACATTACAGTGTGATAATGTTTGATATCTTATATGATATTATGATTTAATCGATATCTCCAGGTAATGGGCTTTAATATAAATGAGGACCACAAGAATATATTTTTGGATCACTGCTTGTGATCAAGACTGTGATTTGTGGTACTGTTTCAGCCCATTATCTTGAGATAGCGGTTTGATATCTCAAGATAATGAGACAATTAAGTTGCCATCTTGTGATGATAAGGGACCTTATAAAAGAGCAATTCTGGCTGCTCCGGTCTTCCGTAGATTAAAGCTCTGATGGTCTAAATGGATTTATACAGAAAAGGCAGAGGTGTTCTAACACTAATAATATTGTGCTTGACAAGATCAAGCTTCTTGTTCCATTCATGAGCGGACGGTGAAATTGAGTGCTGGATTGAATTAAGTTATTGGGTAGTTTGGGATGTATGCTGCATGGCAATGTCAAGCTAAGGTCAATGTTTGTTTTACACCCCCCATTCTCTTTAATAAATCATAAAACTGGAGGTGAGAGCGGCAGGGGCCAGACAGCAGGAAAACAGCTGATATGCAGAAAGAGGTCTGACAGTTTAAATGATGCAGGAGAGTGCATGTGATTGGAAGATGGGAGAGGGCGCAGGAATTGGCTGATGGGGTTAGCTATATGCGTGTCAATAATTGGCTTGCCCTAGGGTGCATTTGAGAACATGGCAATAAAAAAACAGTCAATACAATCCTCAGATGTCTCATGAAACTGCATCAAAACCCTTAATCAAGAATTTCAGCATGAAATAAATTTGCTTAGCATCATTAAGTTGGACAACAAAATTTTGTAAAATGAAAACACATATTGTTATGGTACAACACCACTGAAATCTAGTATTGAGTTATTGCCCAATATGCCCCAACATTTTGGTTGGTGGATGGATGCAGCAAGGAAGACAACTATAAAAGTGTGCATTCATGGCCAAATAAAGCCCAAAAGATTTTTGAGACTGATACTGATTTTAGAGGCAGAAAATTCACAGATTACCAATATAGTGAATTTTTGAGCCAGAATGGAAGTAGACCTTTTCTACGTGGATTTTGCACCAATGTGACTATGCAATGCTACTCTTTAATTTTTAAACAAATAGATAGTATTAATGATATAAAAAAAATGTAAGTTAAATAATTTAACATAATTCTCAACCAGATCTAATTGAGAGACCTTTTTCTTCTCTCTCACTCTGTGCTGCTTACCACAGTATTGTAAAACACAGCGCCCTCTGCTGGATAAACATTGCAGTGACACCAATATGCCGTTATTACCACACACATTATATGGTGGGAAAAACTAATTTCATATCAGTGCATATCAGATCACATATACGCTGATACTGAAAAACTGAAATACTGATATGGCTGTGATAGGCCAATATCGGCTGATAATATCCGCTAACCGATATATTGGTCGTGCTCTAAAAAAAAATACTGAAAATGTTTTTGAGGGTGCTTTTCACATTGTTTTGGTCTGTGATCTGGCTACCAATGGAATGAGCGTCCCATTGTCCATGTAAGAAAACCCCTGATTTTACGTGTTCTTCTAGTTCTGTTCTAGTTTTTAGGATTTTAGGATTTAGCATGGTTAGCATGGTGTGATTTACGGTTGTACTAACAGTTGCAAAAGTTTTATTTAATGCTCAGTTAGAATCGCAGCCAAAATATCTTTTTAAGCTGGATTTATGTTACCAATGCAGTAGATACATACCACATGCGTTTTGATTTTAGTTCAGGGTCAGTGTTAAGATTTTGCCTGTTGACTGATGTATCGTATCCTGCTTTAATTATATTCTCCATGTTGGAGTTACATCCAGGTAACTTCTATTTCGCCTTGATTCATTACTGAAAGGAGTCTACTACTATCCTCCAATTCCCATATTGCAACTCTGTAACATACACATCCTTCAGACTCCATGCACCCAGTTTGTAACACAGTTCCCAGCTCTCTGGGTTCCCCCCCCCCCCGTACTCGTGCAGATCCACAGGGGACACTGGATGCTTTCTCTGTTTAAATGTGTTCATCCCTGCACCACCTTCCACCAGTCGCCTCCATCTCCTCCGAGAAAGCTCGAGAGGTGTCACTTCCTCCCTTTTCACATATCACTCAACTTCTCACAGATATCACACATACGCACACACTTGCGTTTGTGTGGTGCCCCAACCCCACCTACTCTCCTCCTTCCTCTCTCACACACACACTGAGAACTATATTTTCTCTTTGCTAAAGGGTGCCAAAAACAAGAATAGAAAACATAGCTGGAGCATTTTCAAAAGCTCGACCGAACACGCATTTTGCAGGTGATACAGAAATTGTGGCCCCGATTGTTCACTGCATTAGAGCTTGAAAGGCCTGCATGTGTTTAAGCACTGAGCATGTATTGGCTTAGTGTGGGATGCAAAAAAAGTCTAGATAAGTTGTGACTATTGAGATTCATTTGAAATGCTTTAGTGAAGTTGGGAAGTCAGATTGATTTTAGCTTTGTGCAATTACACAAGTGAAATTAGAGCTAAAGCTTTCTGAGTTCCCTTAGCAATTACTGAGTGATTACATTACATAAACATACTTGTACACTGTCATGAAATGACAAATTTGAAGCACTGAGTGGGAGTGTTTTGAGAGTAATAATGTAGCACGAAAATAATGTGCAGATCTTGCCTAATAAATTGATATATCAGAGGTAGCCAGTTATATAATGTCTGACTCTAACAGGAAACCTGGCTGTTGACCTATGAATGTTATCAATTATGTGATTTCAGGGTGCAGAGTCCACCATCAGTAATTCATCCTGCTGCCCACATAAAGCCACAGCAGAATAACTCATCCAGTTTTTTCTTCTCGCTGCAGTAAATTGTTTACAGAAAATTGAAGCAAACAATCACAGGGATTTATTTATCTAGAAGTGTGAGATTTATATCACACTCCCCGCTGTGAAACAGCATATTGCGGCTGTTTGATTGTGCTGGATTATTGTGTTCATAACAAGATAAATTATATCTACAATAAGCTGCAAATTAAAGTTGACATTGTTCTGGTTGCAACAACAAACCAGTGTCATGCAGGAGTTCAAATTCACATCACAGTGTTGTGTGGGTGTGTCGTTCTTCCCTGATTAAATGGACTGACATAATAAATATTTCCCCCAGTGTTTTAAGATATTGTACAATTGGACCTGGTGAATAAGCATATAGCTGTGATATATGTGCATGATTGCATTAATCATTACAGAAGCCAGGAAGTGCACTGCATTTTTAAATGAGTCATTCACCCAGGTGGCCACTATTATCCCTGAAAGCTAAAGCTAGTGTGAAAGAATGATAAGATAAAGAACCAATACTGTACTTGTCTAAGTTAATGCGAACTGTGAATATTCTATTGGCAGAGCATTGTTTCTTTGCGCCCCGGCAGCACTACACATATTCTTAAGATGTCCTTTGGTCACAATCTTGTCTTTTACTGCTGCTTAATAGAATAGAATAGAATGAAATATTCTAACTTCTGGCATAATCTACTTCTACAGTGCTACCTTGGCAACAATTTCAGCGCAATGTAAGAAAGTTTGTGCCAGCAGTAACCTCACGTAATTTTGTTTTTCTTCCTGACAGACATGACAGGCCAATTTTCATTGTCCCAGCTGCCTTACTGAACTCTTCACTGCTCTGCACAATTCTTGCACAATTACATTATCTCCAAACACTCATTGTAATGTCTTGCATGACTTTGTGCTATATAATTAAATTAATTTAGTCATTACAATGGAGCAGCACTTCAGCGTTCACAGCCACGTCAGTCCACAGCTGTAAAGTGGGTTCAAGTTAAATAGTAAATCAACACTGAAGCAAATAGGGTAGAAAACTGCTGCTGCACTGCTCTCTGTGGGCTGGAACTTTCTGGTATGTGGCACAGCTGGCTGCTCCCTGGTCACCTGTGGCAAAGAAAAGTGTTTGCTGTCAAGAGCAACATAACTGTTTCAAGTCATTAGGGTGTAACCAGGAGCGCTGAAAAAAGATTGATTGCTGTATTTTTATGAAACATTATACCCTTCTTTAGAGCTAATGTTGGATATCTCTGAATCCCCTACAGGATGGCCGTGTGTCCTTCATTGGTCACCAGCTGGGCGGCGTGTCCTTCTCGCCCAACAGCCGCGACCAACAGGTCAAGTTCGCCCGCGCTGTCCAGATCACCTACTACCTCCGCAACCATGGACCTGTGGTGCAGGATGCCATCGCCGAGCGCTGGGAGAACGAGTTCTGCGCCCTGGTCAGCCGGCTGTCCACGGCCGAAGTGCCCCATGCGACCGACCAGCTCCACATCCAGTCGCTCACCTCCTTCGGCCTGTGGCGGGACTTCCACCAGACAGGCGTGCTGGCCAAGGGGGAGGTGCTGGTCAGCCTGGTACTGGTGCTCTTGGCCGCCACCATCTCCAGCTCCATGCGGGACTGCCTGAGGGGGAAGCCGTTCCTGGGCCTCCTGGGGGTGCTGACCATCTGCATCGCCAACGTGACTGCCGCAGGGATCTTCTTTATATCGGACGGGAAGTTCAACTCTACGCTGCTGGGGATCCCATTCTTTGCCATGGGTGAGTGGGACTGGCTATGTGTGTGTGTGTAGTGGTTGGTTTATCAGGGGTTGACACTGGCATCGGGTTGATTGGGGAAGGGATTAGCAGAATTGTTACAAGATTTTCCTCAGAAGGGATGCCAGCAGTTCATTCCAGTTGTTGCAGAATGATGAGAGTGGCGTGTGTGTCCATGTGTGGACTTCTTTTGTCAGGCGCGTTTTCTTTGCGTGATTTTTGCAGTGAGGACACCCTCATTTGTTATGTAAGGTTTTTCATTATTTCACCAAGCTGATATTATCCTCGGTGTCGTGGATTTAATAATAAACTCTATTACAGTATATCAACCATGAGTAGCAACACACATCAGAATCCCAGAGTACCGTATGGAAAAAGAAAACTGCTGGATTTCATTATACAGCCACATACAAATAGATTTATTTCATGTTTCAAATTTGCATTTAAAGTCATATTTCATTGGTGTCACACTCGTGATTTGACACAGAAACTGGTTGTTTTGCAAAGGCATAATGTTAGGAAAGAGAGCCATGAACAAATGGAGTATGCAAAGAACTAGACTCAAGTCTTTTGCATAAACGTGAACTGTTAAATCCTCTGAAATCATTCATGAATGTGATATGGCATTAGGAATTTCAAGAGATGTGAGGCATAAGGTTGCAGTATGGGATGGGGAGGTGGTAGGGAATGACATGGCAGCTAAAAATGTGCCCCTTGCTGTCCATAAAAGTAATACATTTTTATATAAAAAGATTATTAATTCATGTTTTATAAAAAAAAACTATATTATTGTGTCTTTAATTGGGGATAAAGGCATTAGATATTGATAGGAAACGAGGGAAGAGAGGCAGGTGGTCTGCATACAGTGGTCTGTTAAGCACTAGGCCACCAGAACTCTAAGGGTTCCCTCGTCCCATAACAAAGTCAATACAAAGACACGAGTGGATGCAAACAGTGGTGAAATTGCTTTAGGAGGTACAATTGGAAAGGAAAAAACAACAAAGCACACATACAAGCCCACTCTACACACAGTTTGTGCTTTGCTGGCTGGTAGGGGTGTGTATTTTTCCCTCTCAGACTGTGTATGATACAGATACATTTGTAGCAATACGACAGCTTGACACCTCCGATTCAGTTCAGCAATTAGAATTTGATATTTTTACTTTTTTAATAAAAAAAGACTACAGCAAATCAATGAGTTTTCTTATTTTTTAATTCAAATACTGAATGTGAAATCCTCTGTCACGCAGCAATAGTAAACCTGGGCATTGATACAATTTTCAGGCATTTTCATTTAAACTTTTTTTTCAGGCTGGGGTCGGGCCCAATCGAAGCTCTAATACAGACAGAACAAGCATGAAATACATGTGTCGTTCAACATGGCAGTGTCAAGTTTTCAACACATGCTCATTCTGCGGTCCAGTTAATAATAATAATAATAATAATAATAATAATAACAATAATAACAATAATGCAACAACAGTTCTAAATAAAGCGCAGTTTGGTTTTGCTAACACAACTTACATTACCTACCTGACAAGTCAATGCTGATTTCTGACCCATCCATCCAGTCCGGTGCCCTCCTACATACTTCATAGTACACCTTCACACGTGTACTTTTCATGTCTAGGCGAGGCTAAACGTTACACTGACATAGTATCCTCACATCATCTTATTGCCGTGAGACTGGGCTGGACAAAGAGGGTTTGGAATATCAGTTTTTGACAGCTGTATTGATTTTTTTTTAATTAAATTAATTTGGGTTGGATATTTGGCCAGCTATAGCTGATGTCTGTACAGTCGATACTTTGGCTATGGTTGGCTGTGTATAAAATAAACACAGACTGCAAAAACACAGAAATACATTTATCCAATAACAAATATTATGTCTGAATGCCCCTTTAGGAGCAAAATTTCAATAACAGGAGATGCATTGCCAAATAAAACTGTGTATGGCTTATCCCTCCCTCTTTTTCTCCCTCTCTTAGCTCCTTCACATATACTGTGTCCGTTTATACTACAGTATATCTTGCATTTCCTCTCCGTGCGTTCCTAAGGTCAATGGATCCCTGGGGCTTTGGCACAGCTCTGCTGCAGGCCGGCTGACATAACTGAAGTTTAAGTAAGACTCAGGAACAGGAGGCTGGGTCCGCTCCTTGTGACCTAGAGGCAGGGGAGGAGAGGAGAGGAGAGGAGAGGAGAGGGGGGAGGTGTCGTGGTGAGAGAGGCTAAAAAGGAAAGTCAAGGAGAAAAGAGCGAGGAGTAAAAATGAATGTGATGTATAGGAAAGGAGGGTGCAGGGTAGGCGGGGGCAGGCAGAGCTAGAGAGGAGAGGTAGAGGAGAGGGGAAGACGGCGAGAAAGTCACATAGAGAGGGAGGAGGTGGAGAAGGGCGAAGAAGATGGAGAGGACTTGATTAAGTCTGTAATTTCATGTGACAGGACCTCAGAGGCAGCAGATGTCCACCCTCCTCTTGGGAGGTCCTGACTGAGGCACACCCCTATCACTATATCAACGCCACATCAGGCCAGACACGGAACTGAAATGGATACTGACACCTAATCTGTAATGTGGCGCCCCCTGTTGAGACATCACCACAATTGAAAGCTTTGTTTAGTATATAATTTAAAGAGCAACCTGTAGGTTAAAGTTTAGGCTTAATGGAAAATAAGTAAACTAAATATATGATTTTGTAATTATGGTTTATTTGTTATGGTCTGACAATGGCCGCAGTGCCCTTTGTGTAGTAGGTAGTATTCTAGGTAGGTTGTCATTAGAGAGTAGATGAAGCAGATGCATTATACTGATCAGTCCTTGGTATCTATCCCAATCCCAATGCTATGTTACTAGGCTAACAAGTGTCTTCAGGTTCATCTATGGTGGCTATAGTCTATAATGTCTTTTAGAGTCCGGCCTAAAAATGTTTCGTTCGTCCAGTTTAACCTTCAGAAGCCTTTGTGTAGCGTGTGCTGCTGCCACGGAGGAAATAAATACCTGACGAATGAAAACTGCCGAATCAGATCAAATCGTGCTCTGCTGTCACGGAAGATGAGGAGCTGAGACAGAGAAAATGCTAACTGCTACAGAGAGAATCATTTTGATCGCTTCCAAGGGCCTGACAGAATGCAGAATTTATGTCCTGCTTTAATGGTATTATTTCATATTTTACTTGTGTCTTAATGGCGTTTTGCTTTATTTGACAGTGACAGTAGAGAGAGGTAGGAAAGGCAGGGTAGATAAAGACAGGCAGCAAAGGGTCCAGGTGAGACTTGAACCCATGGACTGGGTGGTACACGCTCCACCAGCCACCCAACTGTGTATATATCAGAATAATATGTTTCTATTATCAGAATTGTCTAATATTCAGGGTACATTTATTTCCCCTGCAATTAGTAAATGTGGAATCAAGTATCGAGCAGTTACAGCTAGCCTACCAAGCTGATGCCTCTGTTCTTACGTAGCGTTACTCTTGCCAGTATTAGGAGGTCGCCACTGGTTTCGGTACTGCGCGGTATGTGATAGCAGACTTCACAGCATTGTGAATTAAGTATTGTTAGCTAACACTCGTCACTCGCCAAGAAACCTGCCCAAAAGCAAAGACCCATCCATCTCATTAATGTCAAAAATACCTTTGGATAAATATGTATTATTGTTAATATTGACCCAGCTTGTCCAGTTTCTCAATTTTGATGTGGACAGTGTGTTGTATGTATATATAGATAAAGATATAGTGTTTCATTTTCCCAACATTCATTTGTTAAATACGCCAACCTAAAAGTTCCTCTAGATCATATTGGTCTTCTGGAATCTTTCTGTGGAAATTTCATTCATTTTCAACTCTGCTGTGTTTTGTGCTAAGCTACAGGTATCTGTTGGCCACATGCTAACAAACACCTTTGCTGTCGCGGAGGTAATCAGACAATCCTGGGCCCCATTCTGCACAGGCCTGGTGATATACACCATAGACCTAATTATCTTATCTGAAAAAATCCCATGGCTTCTTAGTTGGTTCTTGTTCCCTTCATCTCCTCTGTGGAGGCTACAATAACACTTGGGATTATAGTGTGCTATTTAAAGCTCCTATGTGTAGAATCATTGTGACATCATAGAATCTTTCAGATGTTCTGGTTGTGCAGTTTTTTCTATGTAGAAACATTAGAGGTTATCGTTGTGCACTTTTAATTGCCACTGTGTCTTTTCTTAATACTACCACTGGGAGGTGCCGAGTTTTTAAATACCCTCAGTGTGCAAGGGCTGTCATGTTAAGGTCCAACTCAAACCACAATTAGTCAGCCCTTTTTGCAGTGAAAAATAATGTCATTATGATGGATATATATCAAATATGATAATTTTCTTTTAGCCTCCCAAGGGATGTGTCACTGTTTGTGTTTGACTGACAACAGCTGGCAGAGAAGCGAAGAAACAATGCAAAAACACTTTAACTGTAGCTTACGAGGCATTGGCAGTGTGTTGTTAGCAGTGGCACTGAGCAAAGACTACACCAGTATCCAAACTGACAAAGTAACTTTTCCAAGCTGTTATAAGGGATTTATTTAAAGATGTCCTGCTTAATTTAATTATAGCTCAGAACAGTTTCTAAAATAAGGCTCACAGTTAAAATATTTCCGATCAGAATTGGGTGGTATAAGAACATTGTGATTTACAATTAACATGTTAATCTTCTAACATTCTTATGAATTGACCTGTAGCAAATTGACTTGGTTGACACATTTTTGGTTCTATATGTCAGTGTCAAGCCACACACACAGTATTGTGTCGAGGCATAGATCTGGAACAAAACGCATTAGCACTGAAAGTTCACACTGGGCTCCATCACTGTAACATGGAAGAGGTTTGGAACGCCCAAAAATCTCCACCCATCTCTGCACCTCTCCATCTATTAGGCCTGGGTGGCAAAGTAGCTGGCTGAAAGCCACTCCTGAGTGAAAGCGACCCACGCAACTGGTGTATATGTGTTAACACTTACAGCCAAAAAACTCTTC